CTGTTCATCTGATCGACATGTGGAAAACAGTAACCCTACAAATGATACACACACTTATATAAGAACATAGTTACCCAATGGGAAAATATGTAGGTAAGCACCTTACGAGCTGATCCGTGTTTTCTTTTAGCTTTTAGTACCAAAATTGTCATCATGACCAATGCCAGCTATTAGAAAAAGCACAAAATGAACACCTCCGATGAGAATTATCTTGTACATTGCAAAATAACGCGCCGCTGAAGTTATGTTCGAGTGCCGAACTAAGAACGATTTGGCAGAGAAGTCGGTAGGCACCACCCGGTCAAGTGTAAGTTGCTGGTAAGGCATTATTTAGTGCACCTATTTCCTACAGGGTATGTGCGCACATATCGCACGTTTAATTATAAACTTGTAGATAATTATTTGAAAATTTAAATTTTGTGAGAAAAAGCAATCAAAGCTTGATCAAGCTATATCAAAAAGACGTATGTAAAGACACATATCTTCGCCACTTTTAAAAAGTTTAGTTATCTGTTAGACTGAACATATTCTTTTTATCAAGCTTATTAATCTCCAAAAAAGTAAGTTTTGAATTACTTCTCTGTATTATTGAACTTGCGATATGTATATGTACACATGTATATATGTGTGTAAATATACGTAAATACTCCTTTTATTCAAATTGTTTATCTACAAGGCTTAATTTTTGAGTACAAAAACACTATCAATGTGTAATTTTTGTTTGAAGTTGGCCACCCAATTTGCGAAGGCCGCGCTTGTTTTGTGAAATTAGTTATTTATGGTTTACAGCGATAAAGAAAATGTACAAATTTCACAACTTTTGAAAATCTGAACTATTTTGGAAGTTAGGTATAGCAAATAACTTTTTTCGAAATTGTGTGGATTTTATTGTTTTCTCGCAACTGATAATGTCAATTCTGCTCATTTTTTAAACAGTTAAGAATGATCATGTTTCTCCCCATTCTAATTTTTTATTTTGTTTTGGCAAAGTTAATAACAAAAATATAATTGACTTTTCAAACGCGTTAAAATTTCGTTTTGGGCTAATATTGTTGTACATTCCATTAAAAATTATTTGCGGAAAAAATTGGCTGAATGCAATGGGGCGAAAGTTATTAACGTTTTGAAGTCCAAACAATTTCAAGAAAAAGTTAATATCCAGCTATAACTTCTAAAACAATTCGAATTTCGAAAAATTGCGAAATTTGTATTTTTTCTTATCATTGCGAAAGATAAACAATTCGTTTCACAAAAAAACAACTCGATCGTCGAAGAAATGGTGGCCCACTTCAAAAATTTTACTCAATAAGTTCTCTGAAAACTGGATTTCAAACGACTGTTTTTTATTAGTGATTTGAAACAGTAATGCAATATTATAGATTAATATAGCTGTAGAGTTGTGAGGTTACCGGAGAAGTTATGCAATGCAAAGATGAATTTGTACATCTATAAATTTGATCTTAATTAAAGTTTGCACTGTAATAATTAGGTTATAATTTTTGTTATCTCAAAAAAATACGCGAGTGTCGAGTATCGAAAAAAGCCGTTTCTCCGCGAATGAGCCAAAATAATGCAGAACCAATTGCGGGTTGCGTCCGGTGGTTTAGTTGGCCTTTGGACAGTTATAATTTAGGCCAAGGGTGGCTAAATCGAAAACAGCTGATACAGTTTTCAATTTTTCAGAAATTTATTTGCCACCACGTTTTATTTTATTCAACAAAATGCATCAATAAGGAAGGTACTTAATATGGTATTTTTACTTTGAAATAGTTTAATTGCTCCGCCAACTTACCAAGAAACTGCAATCGTATTGGATCACCCCGTATAGAAATATGTATGCAGTTATGTACGCATGTTACTTATGTACAAACACCTGGATGGACACATTCAGCTGATTGCAACTTGGCGCCACTTCATTGTCATGTGTATGTACATTAGGGTGCCCATCGAAAATGTTTTTTTTTTTTGGAAATTTCAAGACCCTACCCACTAAT